TAGAAGAAAAATTGGCTCTGACCTACCATTTTGGCAGAAAAATTACCTTTGACGTAATAATTTTTGTTTAAAAGACACCCATATCAATACACAAATATTTACGAAGAAATCAAAGCTGTCGGCCCCTCCTTCTTCACTCTTCCCCTCCCCCCCAAAAAAATTAAAAATAAAAATAAAATAAACTCACACACTCGCCCAAAACTTCCCACGCCCACGGTAAAGCGATTCCACCCCTTTGACCATCCCTGACCGCCCCCTCCCCCCCACCACACACGCCCACTCTCTCTCTCACACAGTCCTAAGAACCTACCACAATAGGCATCTAAAAAGGAAGAATATTTTGGGTCGTAAAAAAAAAAAAGAAAAAAAAAAAAAAAAAAAAAAAAAAAAAAAAGCTCATTCACTCTATAAATCACGTGTGAGTGTAAGTACGTACGTATGTATGTATGTAGGTATGTCTGTATGTATGTGTGCACGTATACGTCTGCGTATGTGTGTGTATGTGTATATGTATGTATGTATGTGTATGTGTGTGTATGTGTGCTGTGTGTGTGTGTATGTGTGTGTGTATGTGTATGTGTGTGTGTGTGTGTATGTGTGTGTGTGTGTGTGTGTGTGTGTGTGTGTGTGTGTGTGTGTGTGTGTGTGTGTGTGTGTATGTGTGTGTGTGTGAGATATCCTTAGAGATAGGCCTATCAGCGATTACACAGGGTTACAGGTTCTTTCACCCGGGAAAGTTTTACGGTCCGAGGCTCAAAAATGCCTGGTGGTAAATCGATAAAAAATGGAAGGGGATAAACAGATAAACAGATATTAAGACTGAAATAGCAAAACGATTTATAAGATGACAGACAGACGTTAAACACAATACGGTCAAGATAGATAGATTAAACAGTGGCTCGTGTTTTACCTATACGTTTGTAATCCATCTTTTCTCCGTTTTTTTATTCTCTCTTTCCATCCTCCCTCCTTTCTCTCTCCTCCCTCTTTCTCCTCCTTCACTGCGATGTCTCTTCTCTCTTTATCTTCTTTCTCTCTTCCCCCCTCTCTCTCTCTTTCTCCTTCCTCTCCCATAATCTCTTAATGTCTTTTCTCTTCCCATCCCCTCTCTCTTTCTCCTTCCTCTCCCATAATCTCTTAAAAATCTTTTCTCTTCCCATTCTCTCTTCTCCCCCTTCCCCCCTCCCCCCCCACGTCGAATCTATTGACGTCTGCATCTCCATCGACCTTGTACTGTACATCATCTTAATTAACCACAAAGACCGTCCTGCATCTCTGGAGATAAATACCACTTCAGGCGGCTAGATTGACGCAGATAATATCAAAGGAGGCCGCGGTTTAAAAAAAAAAAAGTGAAAGAGAACAAAAAGCATTATCTGTTGCCATAAACATCTACGTACAGGTTAGGAGGCAAACGAACGCCGGTGAAAATGAATAACAAAGTCCAAGACAAAAAGCTCTTTAAACAAATATTCCTGCATGAACTAATATGAATCTCTATACCTTTTTAAAAAAATGAATGGAAGAGAATATAAACACATTAAACGTCCCCTATTAAAAAAAAAAAAAAAAAAAAAAAATACGTTCGTACCCAACCACCATCGCGCGCCATTACATACCGTATCCCTAAGATGCCGACAATACCAACCTTCCTTTTTTTTCTTACCTCGTTCCTCATTCCTGATCATTATTTTCTTCCCTTCATTCTTCATTCTCTCTCACACACGCACATACACATTATACTTTTACTTTCGGCGCGATAGGCCTATAACTAAGCACCGCCGAGTGAGTGTTACCTGGTGATAGGCTCGTAGGTCACGGTGCCCGCCCCCTCCCCCCCCCCTCCCCTTTATACCCATATGCCCCGCCCTCTGTGTTCTCTGGAGGACTAGGAAGAAGAGGAAGAGGAGGCGGAGGAGATGGGATAATAGAACAAAGGAGAGGAAAGGAAGGAGGGAGATAAGAAAGAAAAGAGAGAGAGAGAGAGAGAGAGAGAGAGAGAGAGAGAGAGAGAGAGAGAGAGAGAGAGAGAGAGAGAGAGAGAGAGAGAGGAGAGAGAGAGAAGAGAGAAATCAAGAAGCAGAAACAAAAGAAAAAGAGAAAAATAAAAGGAAAGAGAAGCAAAAGCCCCCCAAAAATCGGAGACGAAGACGGAGAAAACGGAGACGAAAAAGAGAAAGAGAAAGAAGAAAGAGAAAGAGGAGGATAAGGAACACGGAGGGTAAAGTATGCGCGCCGGGCATTCATGTCGGTGGCTCTTCGGCCTCTGAGGGCATTCCAGGTTTTTATTTATGAACCTTTATTATCATATTGGCGAGAGTATCTGTTGATGGTTATCGTATACTGATTTCTTACCTTTTGCGTGAAGTACATTTAGTCGAGGAGGTGGGAAAGAGCAGTTAAATGTATGCGCGTATGTGTATGTGCCGGTATGTATGGATGGTGTGCGTGTGTGTGTGGTGTGGTGTGTGTGTGTGTGTGTGTGTGTGTGTGTGTGTGTGTGTGTGTGTGTGTGTGTGTGTGTGTGTGTGTGTGTGTGTGTGGTGTGTGTGTGTGTGTATGCGTGCGTATGTGTGCATTTATACATGTGTGCGTGTGGTGTGTTTATCCATATATGAGCGCGAGTACGTGCGTTCGTGTATGTATGTACGCGTACGCCCGTGCCTTCGTGTATGCATGCGCGCACATACGCACGCACATAAAAAGAGAAAGACCTTTGTTGTGGCTTTGTTGTGAGGAGCGCTAAGGTCGCACGCTGATAAGATCTTCGAGGAATCTTTCAAGCAGACATTCGTCGCCTTTTCTCATTACGCTGTGGAAAAGGAGGGAGGGAGGGAGGGAGGGAGGGAGGGAGAGGGACGAGGGAGGGAGGATGAGAGGAGAGGAGAGGAAGAGAGAAGAGGGAGAGAGGAGAGAGAGGGAGGAGGGAGAGGGAGGGGAGGGAGGAGGGAGGGAGGGAGAGAGAGAGAGAGGAGAGAGAGAGAGAGAGAGAGAGAGAGAGAGAGAGAGAGAGAGAGAGAGAGAGAGAGAGAGCAAGAGAGAAGAGAGAGAAGAGAACCGACAGAGAAAGATAGGAACAGATACAGGAACAAATTAAATCATCCCATACCTCCCCCTCCACAACCCCACAACCCCCACTTACCATCACCCTCTCCCCTTCCCCCTTTCCCTCCCTCCTCCCCCCTCCCTCCCCACCCCCTCTCCCCTCCTCCCCTCCCCTCCCCCTCCCCTACCCCTCCTTTCCCCCTTCCCCCCTGGACATAAATTCATCCCAGCTGACACAGGTCTTGTCACCTGGACGCGAGACAGGACTCACCGCCATCGTTGTTGCTAATCTCCCTCCCTTTCTCCCTTCTCCTCCCCCCTGTTTTCCCCGAATCATAATCCCTCCCTTATTTCCCCCTTCAAGCATCCTCTCTTTCCCTTTTCGTTCCTTCCTATCTCCCTTATTCATCCCCTTTAATCATCCTCTCTTCCTTTTCCTTCCCTCCCTCCCTCCCTTATTCATCCCCTCGAATCATCATCCCCTCCCTTCCTTCTCTCCTCTCCTCCCTGCCTTACCCCCCCTCCCCCACCCATCGCGACGTCAGCCCCGAGGGAAAGAGTGACGCGACAGGAAGTCTGTCACCTTTGCATCGAGGAGACTGACAGCTGGCAGTGAGAGCAGGGCATTCCGCTGTCTCTCCCACGGGTCCTGCGTCTGCGTTCTGCTGTGCACCGTGTCTTTTCTGTCGCCTCTCTCTTTATCTCTCTCTCTCTGTCTGTCTCTGTCTGTCTCTTCTCTCTTCTTCTGTCCCTCTTCTTCCCCTCTCTTCTCTCTCTTCTCTTTCTTATGACCTGTTTCGATCTCTCTCTTTCTCTGTTTCGATCTCTCTCTCTCTCTTTCTTTCTCCCGATTTCTCTCTCTCTCTCTCTCTTATGACCTGTTTCGATCTCTCTCTCTCTTTCTCGATCTGTTTCGATCTCTCTCTCTCCCTTTCTTATGACCTGTTTCGATCTCTCACTCTCTCTTTCTTATGACCCTTTTCGACCTCTCTCTTCTTTTTTCTCTCTCTACCTCATGACCTGTTTCGATTCCCCTCTCTCTCTCTCTTTCTCTCACTCTCTCTTCCCTGGGCCTTGTTCCCTTCTTTCCTCTTCCCTCCTAAGACCATCTTGATTCTTCTTCCTTTGATTTTAGTCCCTTGTTTCCCCTCTACACTTTCTCATCTTAGTCTCCTTTCTAGTCGTGCAGGAAGGGGGAAGTGCCAGATAGAAAAAGCACGAAAATAACAATAAAAATAAAACAACACGAATGAAGAAGATAAAAAAAGAGAGAAAGAGAACATAAGAAGGAATAAGAGCCAAGCAAGCAAGACAAGTGGGCGCGGAGGAGGAGGAGGGCGAGCGAAGAGGAAGGGAAAGAAGGAGGAAGGAGGAGAGGGAAAGAGCAGTGCTGACGCGGGTCGGCTGGCCTTGCGTGGGCCCGCTCACACACCCCGCCGCCGCCGCCGTCGCCGCCGCAGAGGCGGGGGTCACGCGGGGTCAGGCGCAATGTTGCAACATTCTCCTTTTTAAATGGCCAGATCCGTCGACCCAGCGCCCCGTGCACACGCTCGCGCGCGCTGGTCGAGGCCCAGTGCACGTGTTCCCTTCGCCGCACCTTCGGGGCGAGGGCGGCCGGGGAACGGCTCCTGGGGGCGCGGGGGGAGGAGAACGAGGGGGAAGGACACGCTGGCGGGAGAGACAGACAGACAGACACACAGACAAAGGGACGGATAGATATAGAGAACCAGAAAGGGGGAAAACCACCCATAAAATCCTATTCAGAAAATAAAACACAACCAAAAAACCCTAAACAAAACAATAAAAAAAGAGACAATCCAACAACAAAAAAAAGAAAAGAAAAAAAAACAACAAAAAAACGCAAAAAAACTCACAGAAAAAAAAAACACAAACACACACATACTCAAAAAAACACAAACAAAGAAAACGGGAAAAAAACCTCTCGCCGTACTCACCAGTAGCGCAGACTGTGATAAAAAACGTTGCGTGCTCGCGGACCATACGCATTTGAGCTTCTGGGAGCTTGAGCTGCAGTCGCGCGATGATCTGGTCCAGGAAAGCGTGCGGAGTGATGGCCGCCAAGTCCCACTTGAGCCGAGTCAGGACCAACAACTCCCATTTCTGGAGGAGAAAGCAAGGGGGGGACACGTTTAAGTTGGCTGCTTATGGGAATGGGAATAGGGAATGGTAGTGTTAATGGGAATGGGAATGGAAATAGGGAATGGTAGTGTTAATGGGAATGGGAATGGAAAATAGGGAACGGTAGTGTTAATGGGAATGGGAATACGGAATGGTAGTGTTAATGGGAATGGGAATGGTAGTGTTGATATGATGATTATAGTGATGATTATCATAATAACATGAATGATGATTGATGATGGTGATTGATTGGTATTGATAATAATAAAGATAATAATAAGAATAGAAATAATGTAAAAATAATGAAAAAAATGAAAAATTTGTGAACCAATAATACTAACTATATTGCAAAAAATGACAAAACTAAGGCTAGTAATAACAATAGTGAGAAGGTAATAATAATAATAATAACATGAAAATCAATAAAAAACAAGAGAGAGAGAGAAGGAGAGAGAGAGAGAGAGAGAGAGAGAGAGAGAGAGAGAGAGAGAGGAGAGAGAGAGAGAGAGAGAGAGAGAGAGAGAGAGAGAGAGAGAGAGAGAGAGAGAGAGAGAGAGAGAAAGAGAAAGAGAAAGAGAAAGAGAAAGAGAAAGAGAAAGAGAAAGAGAGAGAGAGAGAAAGAGAAATAGAGAGAGAAAGAGAAAGAGAGAGAGAAAAAGAGAAAGAGAGAGAGAGAGAGAGAGAGAGACATATGCAAAATGGCCAATGAATCATGACACTGGCTGGAGGGACATCCGTTTTACGTGTCCCGTCTCACGCCCATAGATGGTAGGTAGATGGGCGGGTGGGCGGGCGAGGGCGAGGAGGCGAAGGCGTAGGGGAGGGGGGGGAGGTAAGGGCGTGTGGGGAAGTGGGCGGAGTAAATAAAGATGGAGAATAAACGGAAAGAAAGAGAGAAGCGAATGGTCATGAGGACAATGAAAAGGGTGGAAGGAGGAAAAAGGAGGAAGGGAGAGGGAAAGAAATAAAAAAAAAGATATATAAAAGGAAGAGATATAGATTGATAAATAGATAAAAGACAGATACGCAGGAGAGTAGCAGAGAGAGAGAGAAGAGAGAGAGAGAGAGAGAGAGAGAGAGAGAGAGAGAGAGAGAGAAGAGAGAGAGAGAGAGAGAGAGAGAGAGAGAGAGAGAGAGAGAGAGAGAGAGAGAGAGAGAGAGAGAGAGAGAGAGAGGAGGAGCATCTATAATCACACAGGGTCAGTCATCCATCCGTTCACAGGCTGCCTCTGTCGCCGCCTCGTCCGGTGGCTGTGTGAAGCTCGACCTCAGTAAAAGGAATCACATCAGCACACAAACAAACAAACAAACGCAAACAAAACGCACACAGACAGAGAGACAGACATACACACACACAAACAAACAAACAAAACGCACACAGACAGAGAGACAGACATAAACGAAAAGGAATCACATCAGCACACAAACAAACACACAAACACAAAAACAAACAAGCAAAAACAAACAAAACAAACGCACACAGACAGAGACAGACATGCACAAAAAGGAATCACATCAGCACACAGACAAACAAACAAAACGCAAACAAAACGCGCACAGACAGAGACACAGACATAAACAAAATGACAAGACACCAACACACACGTACAGACACACACACACACACACACACTCAGATAAACAGACCGACAGACAGAACACACTCACGAGGAATTCCCCCTCCCCCCGCCCCATCCTCTCCCCACTCCCCTGAGGACACCCTGAGGATGAAGGACCTCCTAAGCTAGGATGGGCGTCTATGGGCGTCATTTAAGCTAGGATGAGAGAGAGAGAGAGAGAGAGAGAGAGAGAGAGAGAGAGAGAGAGAGAGAGAGAGAAGAGAGAGAGAGAGAGAGAGAGAGAGAGAGAGAAAGAGAGAGAGAGAGAGAATGAGAAAGAGAGAGAGAAGAAGTAGGAATATTGATAGATAGGCAGACAGACAGATAAAGAAGGGAGGGGGGGAAGGCAAAAGTGCAGCGTGGCCGACGGGCGCAGCGACTATGGCGGAACGAGGGCGCTCTCCCACGCCCCACCAGCCCGTCTCTTCTCACGCCCCTTCCTTCGCTCTCTTCTTTCATTTAATAACTATTCTTCAAAGTTATTTACCTTGTTTTATAGTTCCATTTGACATGTAAACTGTGATTACGCTCGTGTGTTTTACCGCATTGGAATAACCGATTGAAAAAGTTCTGAAAACCGATGCACGAGCCGGAAATAAACGTCCTCATACAAGGACGATGAAATAATTAACGAGTGCTAATGGGGCGCAATGCATAATTGCTACCTTTCGCTGCCATGCAATCAGCCTTCATGATGCGCTCCCCTTTTTTCTTGCAACCTGACACGTGCAGCTGCAACGTCTTGCATCCCTAATCAACGCCCTCTCATCTCTAAAACGATACCTGGATCTAGAGAACGTCAACATTCCCCCGCGAAAATCAGGAAATAAAAGAATACCTCCAAAGCAACTAACACAAACAAACAAACGAGGAAGAAAAAAAACACCAACAACGGAAACAAACAAACCCAAAAAAGACCCAAAAGAGAATAAAAACAAGAAAGAAAGAAAGAAAGGACAGGGAGAGGAAACCGGAGGAAGAATTGCCCGGCTGCAGGATACGAGCGGGGTGTTGCCATCGACGACCCATACTCCGCCATCCATCACGATCCACATACGACTGTCACGTGACGTCACTCTCGAGGGGGAGGGGGGGTGAAAAAGGGGGGAAGGGAGGGAGGGAGAAGGGGAGGGGGCAAGGGGGTGGGAGGGAGAGGGAGAAGGGTTAGGGTAGGAGGGCAGGAGGAAGGAAGTGGGATTTAGAGAGAGAGAGAGAGAGAGGAGAGAGAGAGAGAGAGAGAGAGAGAGAGAGAGAGAGAGAGAGAGAGAGAGAGAGAGAGAGAAGAGAGAGAGAGAGAGAGAGAGAGAGAGACAGAGAGAGAGAAGACAGACAAGAGAATGCAGAAAGAGACAGAATAGACAGAGAGAGAGAGAGAGAGAGAAGAGGAGACAGGAGAGAGAGAGAGAAACTATAATAATGAGATGGTCATTGGATTAGCGAACTAGCTTGAAACGACACAACGAAACATCTCAAGGACGTTATGTTATAGCGTATGCAAATTAGGGCGTCTTCCTGTGGTGAGTGTAGTCCGTCCTGTTCTGTTTCTTTGTCTCTTTCTCTTTCTCTTTTCAACATTCTCCTTCTTTCTTTCCTTCCTCTCTCTCTCTCCACCTCCTCGTCCTTCTACTGATTCTTTTTCTTAATTTCCTTTTCCTGTTGTCGTCTTCCTGTTTGTTTTTTTTTTCTTTTCCCTTCGTCATCTTCCTCTCTTCTCCTCCTTCGTTTTCATCTTCCCTTCCCTTCCATCTCTTCCTCCTCCCCCTCCTCCTCCACCTTCCCCTCCTACCCCTCCTCCACTTTCCCCTCCTATCCTCCTCCTCCATTTTCCCTCCCTCCCTCTCCTCCCAACCTTCCCCTCTATCTCCCTCCTCCTCTCCTCCACTTTCCCCTCCTATCTCCCTCTCTCCTTCTTATCTTCCTCCTCCTTCTCTCCTCCTATCCTCCTCTCCTTCCCTCCTATCCTCCCTCCTCCTATCCTCCCTCCTCCACATCCGTCAGACACGATGATAGTCAGAGGTTGACGTCCGCGTGAAGGAATGAATGAGCTTAAATCCATGACATTTCCAACTTCTTCTTCTCTTCCCCTGATCTCCCCCCTCCTTCCTTCCCCTCGACTCCCTCCTCCCTCCCCTCTTCTGATCCTTCCTGCTTCGATTGACACGGAGAGAGAAAGAGAAGAGTGATAGAGACGGGAAGAAAGAAAGCAGGGAAGGAAGAGGGGAAGGAAGGAGGAGGGAGGGACGGGGATAGCGAGAGAGAGAAAGAGAGAGAGAGAGAGAGAGAGAGAGAGAGAGAGAGAGAGAGAGAGAGAGAGAGAGAGAGAGAGAGAGAGAGAGGAGAGAGAGAGAGAGAGAAGAGAGACGGCGGCAAAGGGATGAGATACGAGATGAGATGCGATGAGATAATACGAGATGAGATGCGATAAGATTAAAAGCTGACGAGGACAAGCGCCATAAAAGCCCATTTTAATTCATGACAATCTTACACAAACACACGCACACGCACACACTCCTTCGACCTTCCTTCCTAACTCCCCCTTTGCCTTCTGTTTCTTCGGATCATGGAATTAACAAAACGGACGATAATAAGAGACACAAAAGATAAATAAGAGGAGCAAAAGAAAAACGGGAAGACATCGCCCAATAAATGCCTTCTTAGTGGCTTCGCGACGTCGCTGTTCGTGACTTCAGTAAAAGGTGTTTCTTCACTTCAACCATCACCTCCCTCACATTCTATCTGTCTCTGCTTGTTTGTCTCTATTTCTCCTTTTCTGTCTCTCTCTCTCTCTATCAATCTATCTATCTGCCTGTCTGTTTGTCTGTCTCTCTATCAATCTATCAGTCTGTCTGCCTCTCATTCTCTGTCTATCTCGCTGTCTCTATATATCTCTTTTCTCTCTCGCGTACATGAAACCCAAACAACATCAAGCAAACATACCACCCTCTCCCACCCCTTTCCCTCTCCCCCACCCAGGCGAGCAAAGAGAGCGCGACCCCGCCAGCGCCGCCTCCGAATCCACGCAGTGCCAAGGTGCCACCCGACAACAGGGCCACGAGCAGAGTCATCATTCGAGCGACCAAGGTGTTGAAAGCAGCATCTTGCTTGACTGACGGCGCAAGATGCCACTCAAGACGTAGCCAGGAAGTGTGCAGACTTGCAAGAAAAAATAGGAGGTGGACGAGGAGGAGGAGGAGGAGGAGGAGGAGGAGGACGACGACGAAGGGTGGGAAAAGAACGGAGGAGGAGGAGGAGGAGGTGGATAGGAAGAAAAACGAATAATAGATAAAAAAAGTCCCATAAAACATGAACGACAGAAATCCGAAGAAACTAAAGAAATGAACTTCCCTTTCCTCATTTCCGCTC